TTATCATGGAATGATAACGACTCCTTATGTGGTAGTACATATCGCATTGACAAGTGTGATTCAGGTCCATGTAACCATTGCTACCATAAACTACGACAGCTTCGAGAAAAAACTCATATCGTAACGAGCCCTCTAGAAAGTCTGAGTTCGTTCGGCCTCTAACCCACACGAACCACTGGGACTAGGGTGGAAATGAAAGAAAAAACAGAATAGACACGTGCAAATGACGACCCTATCTTTAGCACCAGGATAATTTTTGTCGTGGGAATACGGTTACTCCAGACTTTCGCAATGTTGCACAATCTTCCGTCGGTTGCACGCGTATTATCGTCCCTAGGCCCCACCACGAAAACTTTGGGCGGGGCTTGCCGACGGGGTTATTGCGGTGGTGTTTGGAATTCCGGTAGTTTTTCCTCCTTTTAAAACCTGCAACAATAGTAATTTGGTCTAAATTGTTATGAAACTTCGCTTATGATAAGTGATTATTCTACCCGTTGGGTTGAAATAGAGAACTGGAGAGGAGGTGTCTTTATTGAGGGACAGGATCCTCGTTTGCTTTTCATGGCTGTTGAAAGCAACGTACAGAGCGTTGAATCAAGTATGACGCTTAGTGGGAGGATCTCATTTAGAGGTCGTAGAAAGCCGGGGGAGGTCGTACCTGGCGTTGATGGAGGCTTTTCCGAGCCACGTTAAAGTTTTTCGGTTGTGACTTTTCGCTCTTTTCCTGTTTCAGGTGCATACCCTTTGTTTGGAGCCGTCACGAATGTACTATAAAACATAAGGGACGTCCTACCTTTTAGGGAATTCTTGAAAAATACGACCTCTCTCAAAATTTTTCTTTTGATATGACCCCTCCCCATACTACCTTCCATCTTTCAATTCTCCCAAATCCTTACCACTTTCCCCAAGGTTTTCCGAAGATTCTCCAGTTTTCCGAAAAACTGCCGTCGTTTAGAGAGCTAGCGCTAGAAACAGGGAGAACCAAGAAAAGTCAACAACCGAGAACATTTTTTCCAAAGGCAAATACGACCCTTCCCATTCACTCCAGCAACCAATACGACTCCCGACGCTTGCGGATCCCCAAAGTGCTATCATACAACCACTATTTTAGGTAGCTGAAACTAGTAGTTGATTAGCGACAACCTAACCCGCTCGAAAGGCCTTTTTCTGGAAGCTGGACAGGGAATTATATGTAAAAATGGGAAAAGTGGGAGGAAGCTGGAGAAATTGAGGAGGTGATAGGTAGGATGAAAGGAAGGGGTCATACCAGGAGAGCAGGGAAAATGATGTGAAAATGATAAAGTGATGGGGTCTCTCACATCATAAAGCCCCAAAGTGCTTGCAACGGCCAACGTGGTTAGTTGGGGGGGGGGATGAGGAAGTCCCTGTGACCATCATGTCTTCTCCGCAGTGCTTTATCATAAAAACTAAGGTCGTTCTGCGCCTCAAGACTATGCTCTTTTGGGGAAGGG